GAAGGCTTAGATGATTCAGATCATTTTCTTTAACATAATTAATTAGTAAAATGAATATTTTTTAAAGAACACATTTTATTCACTGTTTATTAAGGAAAATTTGTTTTTCTCTTTTCGCATTTCTCCTGTTAGCATCTTTGAGATTAATTAGACATAAAGAATCGACTAAATCTGTCTGAACGAACTAAATGTAACGTAACTTTATAAATAACAGTGAAGTAAAATAGATTGTTTAATCATTTTCATCAAATTAATGAATTACTGTCTGTTTAGGAATCATTTCTAAAAATAATTTGGATGTTTTGGACATAATGATGTTATTTTCTCACTATTAGCATCTGTGTTTATTGTTGTCTAACATGGTAGATGGAACATCTTTCTAAATGTAATAAAGCTGATAATCCTTAAAAGATCAAAGCTACACAGAGTTTCTATAAAAGTGAAAATATCTTCAGCAGCATCAGACATCAGTTCACCTTCGCTTCCACTTTCCATTGATTAAAACTCAGTTTTAATAAATTAAGTCTGCAGTCTCTGCAGGAGCAGCTAATGGTCCATGATGTTCAGGTGAAACGGTTAAGCTCACCTCGACGCCACCGAGACCATCAGGAAAAAACTGACTGTTCTGATGCAGACATATTTTAATGGTTAAATGTTCAACTAATATTAAAATAAATGTATTTATGCATCTATCCCCGTTTCCTAATGTTTAAAGGTAAACATGTAGACTGAATCCACTTCCTGCTCTGAACGCTGCTCCTCTCCCTGCAGGCGTGGTTTACGGCTATAAGGGTCTGCTGCTGCTGCTGGGCATTTTCCTGGCCTATGAGACCAAGTCTGTCTCCACAGAGAAGATCAACGACCATCGAGCCGTGGGGATGGCCATTTACAACGTGGCTGTAAGTCCCAGCAGAATACGGTCTCTGCTGCAGCAGTAAAGCTGCAATAAGGTCCTTTTTACAGAACTAAGGTCTGATAGTTCTTCCATGGGTCAGTCTGTCCTTACCTTTCTAGCCAAGTCTGCAGGAAGACATTTAAACCGATTGAAAGACGCCATCAGAGGGGAGAGTTAGCATAGCTTCACTGTCGCTAAGCGGCTTCAGCCGCCTGTGGTTGAGCTTCCCTGCAGAGGTTAGGGTCACAGTGATTTAATGAATTTAGCGTTAATCAGTAAAATAATGTTTTCATCA